GATGCCCAGGCTTCCCCTAGTTAGGGATAATTGGGGCTGAGGAGTAAGACAGATAGAAGCAAGAGTGCTGAGCAGAGCTGCCGAGGTTATGCAATGTGCTAACAAGATGATTAGTCCATTAATTATAAGATGGAAGGAGGCACCAGGTTTTCCTTGGGTTTTTTGTAAGGGAAATATTTCCTGGAGCTATGGCTGACCTGATTTGGGTGCCCTTCTGCTGAGAAACAGAGCAACAGTTTTGTGGCTAACGTGGTTCCTTCTCTGCTTGCTTCAGACGGGCTTTGAGTCCTTGTGGCGGTGTGCTCTCCCTGGTTTGCCCCCCCCCCTCTCGGCTCCTGCCCGGCCTTGGCCACCACGGCCATCACAACAGCAGCTGTGATAACTTGCACCCGGTCTCTGGGGGATGGCTGGCAGCATAGTCAAAATACTGTCTGGAGTGGGGACCTAGAAATTTTGTTGCCATGAAAATATGACTATAGGTCAATTATCTTACTGTATAAATAGTGGACAGCCCAAGAGCCCCTTTGAGCTCTCCTGCATGGCAGCGGGCTGCACGCCAGGATCTCCCCTTTGGTGAGGATGCTCACTTAAGGTTCTACTCCTCGAGGTTGAGAGATTTCTTGCCGCAACAGAGTTTCCGGTTCTACTCCTCAAGGTTGAGGGAATCCTTGCCGCAACAGAGTTTCGGTAAGTGACTAATAGCATGCTAAGCTTTGAAATTTTATCTAAGTAATGTAAAGGATTAATTGTGCATATGTAATCCTTTAGACATAAACCGTTGACCAAGTCTGGGACTAGGATTGGATCCAGCCGCACCTAGACTCCTCTCTGAGAAGGAGTTTAGAAAGCAAGGGGGTCCTTTCTGAACCTCGTGACTCAACGGGAGGGTCTCCCTGACAGCTTTGTCTGACCCTGTCCTCTGTGCAGTAAATAATAGAGTGTACCCTGACATCGAATCTTGTAAACACTATCGCATTTACCACTGGTTTTATCGCACTTACTACTGGTTTTGTTAAATCACTGTTTCACCTTAATAAATCTTTCTCTGCTTCACTCTAACTAGTGAAGTTAATCACTCCGTCCGCGACAGTCCTGTGGAATAGCCCAGGTGAGTACCCTCGATAAGATTCACTGCTTGGTTATTTTCACATGTCTCTTTCTTAAGCTTTTTAGCTAAAGTTGTTTCATTTTATATGAATAATCAGTGCTTTTACTGGGAGATGATAGAGGAAAGGGATACAGGGTGCCCTGAGTGATTGCTGAACAGTTAAGTGTGTTGTAAACACAAAACCACAAACAATACATGTAATTTTAGGAGGTATTAAAGGATTTGTTTTTGGTTAAGACTAAGGAGATATTGTTACCATAGTATGAAAGGTTGGTAGACATTGTTTAGGGCTGGAAAGGTTTGTGGGGTGTGCGAGTGTACGGAGGAGAAAAGGGGGGCATTTAGGTGGCAGCTCTGAAGACCTCACAGGACTAAACCTCTACAATGAGGTGTCATTCTCACTGTCCCATGTGAACCTTCTTCTTTCATTCAAAGAGAACACCAGAAGAAGAACAAATCTGACTTTTCTGCACCCTGTCTTTTTCACTGAGGATTAGTTACACTTTCTCTGGCCTGGTGACCACTACTGTTGTGTCACGCAAACCCGCTTGGGACTCCTCACTAGCCTGCTCTTTGCAGCACTGTCCCAGGTGGCCTGGAGAATGCTGAGCTCAAGTACCAGCATGGAATTGGTCAGAGTAGGGACTCCAAGCTTAGGTTTCCCATTTTTCATTATTTTCATTAGGGGTGTGCACAAAATTAATAACAAACCCCTTGCTGATGCTCCACCAGGGATGGCATGGAGCTGGGGTATGCAGCGTGCAAGCTCCATGTGTGTGTCATGTGCAAACTCAGCACAAATAGCAGGAATAAAAACCTACAAATTGGAGCCGTGCCCAAACCTCATCCAGATAAACTGTTCATATAAGCACAGTAATGAGAAAACTAATTGCTAGAATATGATGTTTCTCTGTAACAAATCCCGATGGGTCTTACTTCAACTGCAGTCCTTTTCAGATGCAGTGAGGATGAAGCATTTGCTAATGGGTCAGAAGAGAGAGCTGCCCCGTACTGTGCAAAACTAAACATCTCCATTTAGTTTGTTTCAGTGGCAAATTCATTCCCCTGCCGTTTCGGTGAATGGAACATTATATTCTGCCAACTATAGCAGACAAGACAGTCAGTGTAGAAAACCTGAGAGAATTGGCTGATATGGCAGAGCTTTAAAATAATTTTCTATTTCAATGGATTTACTCTTGCAGTTTATGTATAGCTGGAACCTCAGCTGCAACCCGTCTCCTGCTGGAGAACTGCTGAATTATGCTCCCTGCTCCCCCAAATACTCCCTGCCCAACAAATCTATGATAATGGTAAACCAGAAAACTTATAATTTATTTGTTCTAATGCTCTCCAGGGCCTAGCAGACACTTAACAGTTCCATAGCAGTTGAAAAAACAGGAGCTTGAAATTACTTTGTACTTGTAATCCAGCTACCCTTGATTTTTCCAGTGCTTATTAGTTTTCTTGATGGATTGTTTGAGTTTCCGGCACAGCTGAGTTCCAGTACAATCAGGCTGTTACTCAGTGGGGATTGCAAACCTACAGAACTGTTTCTGTGCTCTAAAGTAGCTGGAGCGTTCCCCTGCTCCCTCTGAGGGCAAGTCATCTTAAGGAGTGTCCTTGCTTTCTGTGTGTGACAAACGAGCTCTTTGCTTGGCGTGTGGTAACGAGATCACAACCAGCAACTTTCTTACCTCTTCCTAATACCAGTGAAAAATCTGATGGTTCTTCCAACCTAAAAAAAAAATAATCCTACGAGTGGTGATGTCTCCTCTTGCTGTAAGCAGTTTTCCTTCTGTAGCGTGTACATTGAAAGACAAAGACAACAAGGTGGTCTTGGCAACCTACTCGCTCTCTTTCCCTGCTGTATGCGACAGCGTTAAACAAGAGAGCAGGCTGACACAACGATGGGGATGCTACTTTCCTGCTGTGCTTATGATGTACTGTGATGGATGTTCTGATTTCAGTCTATTTTAAAAGACTGTGATGCTGGAAGAAACCGTAGACAAGTCCTTTAACTGCCTGGCTTATTTCACCCTCAAAGCAGGGATACAAACTCGATTTTGCTTGTCTTGGTCCCCTTCAGCACACTGATGGGAGGCTGCAGAGCAAGATTCCTCTAAGAGAGTGTTCCTGTTGTTACTGTGCAGTCACAACTCAAATTCTAATCCTAGTGGGGTTACATCAGGGAGAGTCCTGTAAGAGTGTTCCTGTTGTTACTGTGCAGTCATGTACAACGCAAATTCTAATCCTAGTGGGGTTACATCAGGCTGAGGGCCTTGAAGGCTGCAAGACTTTTGACTTTTACCAAAGGATTAATTAAAGTAAGTGATAGAAGGTCCCTTCCAAACCCTCAATTCTGTGATTCTGGGATAGAATAGTATCAGGTGTGCTTCCCCCAGGCCCAGTGCATTACTGACTGGCAGGAGCACGTAGATAAAGTGGTCCTTTATGTGTGTGTGTATATATATATGACAACTTATCTACTGTTTTCTGCAACAGCGCCTACCATCTTGACCTTGTTCTCAAAGCCTCAGGTGAGGTTTGGGTGGTTTTTTTTAAGTGACTGGCTATTCTGCCTGTTGGTGCTGGCTGGCCGTCCTGCCCTACCCTTCCCCAGGACTCCCAGCATCTCCTGTACGTAGCATGCGGGGAGCATTATGCCCTTCATCAGCAGCCAACCCTTAGACGGGCTCGGCCACCTCACAGAACTGCACCTTCACTATTTCCTTAGTGAACAGCCACGCCAAGAAACGAGTCGTATCAGTCTGGTCGTGCCTCAGCCTGCAATCACAGGCAGGCAGTCCAGAGACCGCGTGAGGACTCGTCAGTTCCATGATTAGATGTTTAACGATACTGTACCAGTCTCCTGCAGAAACAGCCAATGTAAATGATTTTATCATTTACTCCCCCACTGTAGCAGGTATGTACCTACCTGCTGTGCAGGAAGTGCCAATCTGTCACAGGCAAAGCAGGCAGGGGATGGCAGATCCTTTTCTGACATACTTCTTGTAATCATGCAATTTATGGCTTTACCTGCAAAATGCTGCTGACAAACCTTTTTTAAAGTAGCTGAACTCCGGCAAATGTTTGCTCTCTCTTAGTAGAAGTGCTGCCTGATGCCTCTAAGGACAGGTACACCCCGAGAAAGTCCTAAACACACTGCTTCCTGGAAAGGAGACAAGAAGCAAACTGGTAATTTTTTGCCTGGCCTGCTGGAGCAGACCTGGGTGCCAGTAGAATGTCTGCTAGCATGTTACATTTCCAAATGCTCATATCCCTCTTTACTATATTTCTGAAGGCAGTGATCAGTTGGAGACAGCTTTCCAGATTCCTCTTGCTTTGCTTTTTTACTTGTTGTATTTTTTGGTCTGTGTCCTCCAATCCAAACTCTTTTAGCACAGAAAAATTACAAGGACATCAGCGTTCAAGATGTCTAGGGCAGACATAATTTTTACAGTGTGTGCAAATAGTTAAGTCCTTATCCTTTCTAAAGAGAAAATGGAGTTTGGGGCAGATTCACATCAAAACAACTTGCTTTGCCTATTCCCTTATCAGGGAAGAGCAGAAGTAGACTAATTTGTGGGGTCAGTGAACATTGTCTGTTCTTACCCATCATCTATGCCAGAGAAGACACACTTATCTGAATACAAGTGCCTGGTAAAAAGTACAAATTTAGAGTTTGAGAGGGTTGCTGTGTTTCCTGAAGATCCCCAGGAAAGACAGAGTAGGACAGAGAAGTGAACTTGGCAAGCCAGAATTTGAGCCATTCTGTAATACTGCAGACAGCTGTGGTTCAGTCCACGTAACCTTTCAAACCTTGTTCTCTGGTAAACAGGCAAGAAAGATTTAACTTGTTGTTTGGCAAAACCCACAAAATTCAGCACTCAGGTTTAACTAAAGGGTAATTTTTTATTCCCCATTAAGACCGTCTCAAGGACATAACTAAATGTTGGAAACCCCAGAGAAGGGCACATACAGTGAATGTGGTGAAGTACAATGTGAACAGCCCCTGGGGTTCAAACAAGGTAGGACCATTAACTAACCAGAGGAAAAAACAAACGAAAAATCTGCTGAAGATGTTGCACTTTCTTCTCCATTTACACTGAAAAAAAAGTCAAATCAACAAAATTCTTGCATCTCTAACAATACATTCAGTCCTGGCTAAAGAGTTAGAAAAATGGCAACAGGATGACTATAATACAAAACGTTCACTACTACACTCTGTACACACCTGTTGTCCAAACCCTCCCCCAAACCCATGTCATGATGGTGCCCACATTATTTGCTTGCTTGCTGGGCCTGCCTGCGGAGGAGGACGTAGATCTTCTCCTTTATCCAGTCTTTATTGTAGGGTTGGTATGTCTGGGTATCAGCACGGTAACTAGAGAGGGGGAAAAAAAAAAAAAAAGAATTAATGTAATATCAGTCTGTCCTGTAGAACATCTGCCAGAAGAACTTCACAAACAATTAAGCACCCTCAAGTGTATGAGGCAGGAAGTAATATCAAGTAATATCAGAAGTAGATGGGAATTGCCACTTATCAAAGAGATTTGTCTTGTTCCCTAAAAACAGTTACCCAGCACATCAGTAAGAACCTGAAACAAAACAAGATGCTCCAAGGACTACTAAATAACTGGATCACAGTTTTCACATTTTAATTCATGAATATAATTACTTAGGGGAGACTACGAATGGAGCACCTTAATATTCTGGAGCTCAGAATGAAAAAGAATAGTTCCACCAGGAAACAATCTAATCTAGCTGAATGAGCCAAACACTACTTCAAGCAAGTGTTCATGGCAGTTTGTGTTCCACTTCTGCTTGGAATTTTTAGAAAATGAATAACAGCACGGTTTTCCAGGAGTAAAGGTACGCTTGTAGATGAGTGACAAAGGATTCTTGCTAGTTGGCAGTGATGACAAGCCTACATCTAACAAAGGAGGACACTTTGTAGAAAGCAAACTGAAAAAAGAACCCACAGATGCATTCTCTTTGCTACTCAGGGATAGTTGATAAAAGCAGTCAACTAGCACGATTTCTTGCCAGGGCCAGAGAACTCAGTTACTCAAGACACTGTTGAATTGAAGCAGAATTAGACCAAAAAATGAAAGTAAATCGTGTGAAATGTGTAGGTTCGTGACCTCCTTTCCTCCTTAGTCATTAAAGTTTTTCTGATGAAGATGAATTATGAATTTCAGTGAATGCTTCAAGAGCTACTGAAGCTTTCTTTAAATCTTGGTCATTCTTTAAATCTTGGTACACTTATTTCTAATCAGATAAGAAGGGTGAGATGGTCATTGGTGAGAAGCTAAGTAAAAATCCAGAGTTAACTCCACCCAGAATAATTTACAGTTCTTACCTAAGGAAAAAAAAAACAAACCAACAACTAACAATACAGTTTCTAAGAAAGCCTTGTTATTTAAACCACAGCATGATTGGTTCATGGCCATAGAAAGAATTTCAGTATATATTGATATAGTAGTAGTTTGTAGTAGTTCCAGTGCAGTATAAGAAATGTTAGTTTCAGGAAAAGTTACTGATTTCCACCCCAATCCATTCATAGTGTTACACTGCAAGGCCAGTTAGCAAGTACTATAGGAATGCCCACGAACACAAGCCATGTCTGGTACACTGTGTGCTACATGTGCCATCTGGTGGAAAACTATAAGCTGAAGTAGAATCTGGCACAACTCTGAGTTTACAAGCCTAATTAAGAAAGGCACAAGACTGTACTAGAAAACAGCTGCTACTTCTAAAGCAAGTAGCTAGCTTCAGGCTGTCAGATAAACAAAACAGAAGTGTGTCTTTCAAACTGCATGAGGCCAGAACTATGACACCCGAGGATCAAATGAGGCAGAATATCTAGGAACAAGGTAACTGCAGAAACTGTAATCCTGGTTTACTTATTCTGCTGAAAACTTTGGTAAATGGCATTTGTAATAAGTCACCATCAGTAATGTAGATTCCATATGTACTTCAGAATGCAAAGGAAAGCAATTTGATGCTCAGTTTTTTTAAAACATAGGTTTTTATTTTAAACTAGAATTAACTGGCAAAGGCACTGTGCAGCTGCACAAGTACTTGCACTGGGATTTCAGACAGAGCAGTACAGCTGCAGGAATGTCCACACCAGATACTCACTGGCTTAAACAGATTCTCAAATTTTGAGCTTGGAAAGCCAAATACTATGTCGTGATAATACTATGTCTATGAATATGAGATTTGTATCCTTATTCCTACAGAATTTCTGCAAAGTTGGTACCACTGTCATATCAAACCATTACCTTGAAACTTATGGTTTAGAAAGCACTTGTGATCCAGACTAAGTGATTTAGTTACAATGTTAAGTTATGTTCTGAGTAGTGAAATTTAAGATTTGATTTCACAGTGCAGTCAGAATGGAAAGTACGTAAGGCCACCTTTGCTTTCCTGTAACTACAATACACAGATGAGAACTGGAGATACAGATGAGAACACCCAAACAATTAGCTAGGGCTCTCTGGAGGATTGAACTGTTTCTCAATCACTTCATTAGGACTTACAGAAACTTCCATCTTGCTGTATCTTGATCAAAATAAACAATTGGCTGCAATACATTTCTCTGGACTTCTACACTACCGCTCATACAGCCCTCAGCTGAAGAGAATAAGTCACTCTGCCTCCTTAAGAATTGGACCAACTGAACAAAGGCAGATACAGCCCTAATTGAAACAGATTCTGGCATTAATAAAATATGTAGCTGTATTAAACTGTAGGAATTCAGTATTTGAAATGTTGGGAGCTTCAACGTGACTAAAATTCAAGTGGAAACATCAATTTCTAAGCTTTCTTTCTAAATATTTTATTCTGATACAGTTAATTGGAGCGACCAACATGGCATGCCAGCTGCAATACTGCTGCCGTACTGACACAGTTACTGCAAAACACCCCACAATCCTACCAGGTTTCACATAAAACGTGTAAGAGTTTACATGGGAGACTGCTGACTTCTCTAAGGCACTGAAGTGGACTTGTACGACTGAACTTACACGAGACAGCTGAGGTCTGCCAAGTCATCAATGAAGTCAAACAACTGGCTGATATCGTATGTAATGGATGGACTGTTTGGATTCATTCTTTTCAGATGCTCTTCATACATTTTACAGACTCCTACAGGGCAAAAAAAAAAGAGATGATTAACAATGCAATATTAAAAAACCAACAACTGTATTTGCTGAAACTTCTTCAGCTTTTGAAACACAGCTATCGGGAAAGTTTAGAGATGACTACCATGAAAACATAGACATAAACTTCTTACTCAGATTTTGCGGAGTGAAATGCTTTTGTTCTGGCTATTTATTTGCATTGAAACATAATACTAATGCTATAAAGTCAGGTAAGATGCATGGACAGAAGCACCTGGAGTAAAAAAATTTAGTTCAGTCAAAGATGTAACTTTCCATGCAGTTACTGCTCCAACAGAAACCTGAAATTCCTTCTGATAATTTTAAGACAACAACTGCAATGTATGTTCCTACTATACAAGTACCTGAGAAAAAGAAGTAGTAATGTTATAAATAAAGCTACTCAAATCTCAGAAGAGATCATTGTTGATGAAAAGAGTCAAACAGGGCTACTGAGGTAAGAGTGACAGCACAATGTCACAATATGAATTTAAATCAGTTTTATTTAAGCTAGCCCATAAATAATTCAGATACATTTGAGAAGAATGTAATATTAAAGTGAGCACAGAGGCTTTATTATGCTTTTGCTCGCCTCAAAAAATCTTCCTGGCATTAGAATTTTTAACGTTAAGTGAACTTTCACATTTAAATCATACAGCTGTAGTAGTTCAATCTTCTTTCCCAGCTCACTATGCATTTCTTAAAGTCATGCAGGATTTTCTTCTTTGGCAGACATACCACGAGGCTGCAAATTATGCATCAATTGCACACATACTTTTATGTGATATATTAACTCATTAGCAATCTTTCCTCTACGTGGCTAGCACAAAAATTAGGCTCTGATCTTGCAATGAAATGCTTCAGGCAAGTCTGCTGCATGGCCCCACCAAGAATATTGTCTACTCTGATGAGCTGAATGTGGTTCAATCTAGTTAAATCAAAGAGATGTTTAATATAAAAAGGAAGTTTTAGAAACAAAGAACAGATATACATTCTTTTGTGAATTATCTTGGGAAAACATGAACAGCAACTTATTTTCTTACTAGGTTTGGGAATATGTCAAAAAAGGGGTTTTAAACAACATTTTTTGTCTGCTACATCTGCACCCACCTTCCATGCACTCATTCACCGATTCATAATCAGCGTATGTTCTGCCTTCTGGCCTCTTGGTGGGCTGGACAAGTAGAATTGTGTGAGACTGAAAAAAAAAAAACCACCAAGAAAACAGGTTACTTGCAAAATTTGAATGTTTTTTGTTTGAATTAAGTATTTATCTGCAGGAAGTACTAAAAAGAAGCATAATACTAAAATACTGAACCGGCACACATGTTTTCCAAACAGCACTTATTATTCATATAAACTGTTACTAATTTTTGTTTCTAATCGGTCCTATAAATCCTTATATAAGTTTAAATGTGTAAAATCACCAGTAAAGAAGCTATTGTGTTGAAAAAAGAAAGTATAAAAGCTATGCTATTAGTGCACTTATTTTATTCCAAATGCAAGCTGTTAGTATGATTTCAAATATGCCAATTAAAGAGCAAGGAGGGAGTCCAACAACTTCCCTGTCAGTCTCACCTTAAAGATTTTAACACAAATAGCTACTTTTGTGTTATTCGTTCAGCTTCAAGGGAACACAAATTATACAACAAATCCACACTTAGTATTCAAGATTATTTCCTGCAAAACAGATGCACTGATTTTTTTCATTCTTCAGTGAGTCTACTGAAACAGTAATTATGGCACAGATAACTGTTCCAAATGTCAGAGCCTGTAAGCTTGTTCTTCTGCAGGAAAGACTTAGATGATTGCACAGTCTGTGGCTTGCATTATTTCTATAATATTTTTCACTTGGCTAGAGCAAATAATTTGAGAAAACAAGCAAGATTTTTGAAGTGTACACAATCTGTGATCTAATTTACAGGTTACACAGCACAGAAAGTTTGCAAGCAAGCCACCAAACACCATTTCCAGTGCTGCTAATTGGATCCAACATTTTCAATGCTAATATATGAGGTGAGTACAAACATGTAATATTCATGGAGGCAACTGCAGAGTAAGAAACACTGGAAACAAATACCAAAGTGTATTATTGGGCTTAAATTGATCACTTGCTTGTAGAAAAATCCTGTCCCACACTTTGGACATATCAGTGAAGGTACCACTTCAGTGTTCGAATGCAGGGACAGAAAAGAAAAATGGCAAGTATTAGGATTTACAAAAAACATACTAAAAAAAAGGTACAAATTTACCATGACTGATAGCGTTCCCATGCCTGGAACATATTTTTCAGTTCTTTAAATTGTCTCAAATAACATGGTATAAGGAGATTCAAAGAACCCCAGAAAAACAGCTGCATAAAGAAACAGAAGCAGCAAGACTTTTCACAATCAGAAGTGGAAAAAGAAGGGAATTCAGAGCTACACACTGTAACAAAAATCATACAAAGGAGACTAGACCATTTAAGTCCACTTCCATGTATGCCAGAGGACACTAGATTTGAAAAAAATTCCCCAAGGGGTGTGTGTGTGGTATCTGGCTGTTCCTAAGCACGTGCTTGAACAGGCATGTCTTATTGGGGAGTCCAAATGACTCTGGCAAACTTTATTATAAAGTACTTTTTCCAGCACTATAATTTTTATTTGCTGGTCGCTAATGACAAGGCTTGCTTCCAGGACTTGCAACTCTGATTTTCTGGGAGGATTTGACTAAGGATCCCTTACTAACAATGGAAATGATGCATCAGCCAGTTCAGTCAGTGTGTTTTTAAAAAAAAAAAAAAAAGCTCTTCCTATTTTAGCGTTAGAAATGTCTTGCAAATTACATTTTTGGTGTCCAGTTACATACACATATTTGCATGTTTCAACTAAACTCAGTATTAAAAAAAGTTGGGTCTATTTGACAAAGCCTAAGGGAGCATAGACAAAACTGTACTGACCAGGAGTTACAAAACTGTATCACAATTGAGTGAACTCTGTATTCAGTCTCCCAGAATCTTGCCAGGGAACCATTTTAGGCCTCCTGGCCTATAAATACCCAGGCTATCCCTCCCATTGTTTGAGTGCTAAATGGATGTGTATATATTCTGAAATTATCCCAATAATCAGATTATAGGAAAAAAAAAAGTATCAGTGAGCCAGATATGTAAGCCAGTTCTTTTAGAACTGTAAGGCAGAAATTATTTGGGCTTCTGACTTTAAATCACTTACCACTTTAAACACTCTAAAATACCTGTGTCAGATACTGGCTTGGAATTTATTAAAATTAATGCCACTAGGACTATCTGTATTGTAGAATTAATGCACTACATCGCAAATGTTTCCTTGGGAACTCCCTATTATTTTACCTTAAAAAGAATAAATTGCATTTTATAGAATTGCTCTTCCTCTCCTACCACAGAACTGCAAAAAAGTGACAAGTTCAGAAGCCTGAGAAAAGTTTTCTCCAACTATTACCTGCCCTACTGAATATGTGCTTAGGTGACCAGACAAAAATCAGCATGATTAATAACTATTATGTTTTCCTAAAGATATAAATCTTATTATTAGGAAAAAGAAAACCTCAACAAGGTAAGATCCATAAATGTTCGTGCGTTAGAACCAGGTTATCTGAAAAAGTCTAATGTGGTTTCATATTATTATGATGCATATGTAGGGTTTTCTTGTATTTTCTTTAAAAGCCCAGTTGTACTGGCTGTTGTTAAGCAGGATGCTCAATGACGTACCACACGGCTTATATTTTGAACACCAATTTTGAACTTCCAGACAGCACTTTAGAAAGCGCTTCAATTACTGAAAACACAGCCCTGTATAAATGGTTAAGGCAGCACTGACAGACAAACCAGTAGAACTTAGGAGCTAGGCAGCATCTGCCCCAAGAGGCTTCTACCAACTGTAGAGTCTATTCAACAATAAGGTTAAAAGAAAAAAAAAAACCCCCAAAACCAAAAAAAAAAAAAAAAAGGAAGATATTGTAAGTATTGTAAGAATATGATGTGCGGTGATGCGCATACAAGTAGCAAATTGCACATATACTGGTTTAAGTGTCCTCTTTCACTTCAGACAACAGGGAGAGAGGGCTTGTAGCTGCTCATCCTAGCAAAAGCCAACTGCTTTTGAGCAAGCGCCAGGCAGACGTAGAACTTTGCTGCAAACCCAGAAGCAGTCCTCCTCCCCCCGCGGGACGACAACCTTGTTTCGGCATATTCCCATTTATTCGATGAATGCCACCAACTATCGTGACTGGTAGGCCTTTGTACTCCAGGATGCCATTCAAACTGCTAAACTCCCCCTCTCCTGGAGAGCAGCCGGCCTGGCGGCGCTTCGTGAGGCCGCGGTCGTCGCTCTGGGCCCGGGGGGGAGGCG